TAGGTTTGGGGCGGTGCGGGTTGAGGGGACTCACCGGTCAGCTTTCGAATCGTACTCCAAGCCTTTTTACTGTTGTGAGTCATGTCGATGCTAGTAACAGTATTCGTCCACCTCTCTCGTCTGTTTTCGCCTAGTTTAGATAGCAACAATTCTCCAGCAATTGTGGTTGCCTCAGAAAAAGGATCGGATCGGAACAGTGATTCGTATCGCGTCAGTAATTCACTGGAATCTGTTGACAGCCCCGGAATGTAGGAGGTCCTGCAGCCCCTTGGGATGTGTCTTCGGGAATAAGTTGACACAATCTCGACAAACTGGTCGTAGTTTTGCGGGGTTGGTGGGACATTGAACAGGGCGTCATCGATCGACTGCGTAAACGACTCCCAATCAGCCTTGGCATAGTTGAATCGGCGCTTGAGGGGGACATTTATAGATCGGACCACGGATTCGATGCAGCACATAATTGGTCTATGTTGAGTGCGAGGAATAGGTGAACACACTCTTTTAGTGCACTGTGAGCTGATAGAAGAGCTAGCGAAGATTAAATCAGGATTGTACCCGCGTTTCCAGCGACCACTGTTAAAGGAGGCCGGTTGTTTGGCGTCATGGATTAGTGCCAAATCATTCGACTCAGCCCATTCTTCGACTGCATCTCCACTCATATCCGTGTCGTTGTAGCCCCAGTTGGTGCTGCGGCTGTTAAAGTCACCGATTACAACTTTAATTGGCTGGCTACTAAAGTTCTCTGGCGGAGTGAAGTTAAATGTGGTGCCGGGTGGTTTATAAATGGAAGTGATGGAGCAATTACCAACATCTACTGTGATAATTTCTATGCCGTTCTCGTTTGAGCATTTGGTGGAAAGTATGCTTACGCCTGGAGCAGCAAACACTGCGTTACCGTGCTTTGGGTGACAGATCTCGGCGATAAGCGTGAGTCCATCGATGTGTGGCCGGCTTTGGTTTTCATCTCGATGGGTCTCTTGAACGCAAAGAATGTCGCAGCCAGTTTTGCGGCATAAATTGGAAAGAATTTCCGATTTATCTTGAGAAAACCCTTCGATGTTAATCGAGACTACGCACAAAGCCGGTGTTATTGGAGGACTTGGAATTGTCATCGTGGTGAAAGATAAGAGTTTGTTTTGTAGCGAGTAAATGTCGTGTTCCTCCCCTTAAACTGGTGACGGTACCCAGATTGGAATTGCAGGCTGCAGTAATGGCAGGGGCGTGCGCTCCTTGTAGGCAGAAATGCAGTGCTTTACTTGCTATTCACAGACATTTTAATAAAACGTTGGTACGTTTTAGATGACTTTAATTAATAGTAAATAAATGAAAAACAAAATATAATAACTTAAAAACGCGTACTATTTACAAATAGCATAGCACCACACAAACATTGTTTGCCAGTTGTTTACCGAAAAGCAAGCGCAAAGCAACTCATGCCGTCGCCTCGCGCAGGACATTTGTTCGCATGTGTGTAGTAATTTTGGTGTCCGTGCACAGTTCGCATACGCACACACCCATTTATTTTATATGCCCGACTACAGCCGCAGGATGGCCTTCGGGTGTCGGCTCCCGCGCTAATCGTTGTCGTCAGTATTCGGGTATAATCGGCAGTGTTCGTTGCCTATAAATCCACCCAATTACAATAGTCAGAAATATAATGAATCATGTATGCGGATTATGAATTTTGAATATGGTAAGGTTTTATTTGTTTAATTAGCAGATATGTTTCTTGTTCGCGGGGGCCATATTGATTTTTTCATGTGATAAGCATTGTTTACTATTTTCTTTCCGCCAGTATAATTATAGTTTTATTTGAATGTGTGTACATTTAACAGTTTATTACTGAGTTCCGTTGATTTTTTTAAAATGTTATTTGATTGTGAGGAAAATTTGTGTATAATTTAAATTAAAAATAACAAGTTCTCACAATTGTCATTCAGTGAAAAGATTAAAATTGTGTCTGAAGGTCTGTAACTATCACTCACTTGGATAAGATATTTGAGGTAGCCGAAATCTTGCGTTTATTTACATTGGGATATAGTAATCTCAAGTAACCTTAACCTTGAATATGTGAATATCAGAAAATTGAAGATGACCAGGGGAGTAGTTATAATATTTTAGCTTATTATTTTACTTATTAGAATTTCCTCCGCCGCGATCTATCGCCGATCTATCGCAGTTTTGTCAGTGTTCCCGTTGAAGATGTACATGAATAGTAGTACATCTAAGACTTGTTCTGTTGGCATGGTTTCCGACTTAGAGATACATCGCGTGGCTGTGGCTAAGCTAAAAATCTATAAAAGAAAAAGTTTTTGGGACCGACTACTCTGCCGCATACCTAGTGCCATAATCCTGTGCACGCCGCTGAGTAATGGCTGCCAGGTTAGCGAATACATTACAGTCCGTACATCGAATTAAAACAGCTGACCGATACTTTTGGTGTGATACCACAACTGTGTTACATTGAATACTTAACAACACACGGTGTTATAAACCTTATATCGCGCATCGCTTGGGGGAAATCGATGAACCTACACAAATCAAAGAATGGAGATACATACCTACATCTATGAACGTAGCACACCTGGCGACTCGTGAAAATTATGACTGTCTTCAGATGGATGGCGAGTGGTTTAATGGGCCATTATTTCTACACGAGACAGAACCTTCATGGCCTACAAGTACGATTACACCTGTTGTCGAAGACTATAACTTAGAATATATAAACAATATTGTACCTACAGATTACTTACCTGTACCAGATCCGAGGCGATTCTCTTCTTGGATACGTCTTCTGAGAAGTATATCGGTAGTGCTGAAATTTATAAATAAATGTCGAAGAAGGGTCATTGATGAATGTGTTGCCATGAAAGACGCCGAGAGACTAGTTATACGATATGCACAAAATGAGTCATTTTGTTCGGCCATATCTGCAATTAAACATGGAGGATATTTAGAAAAAAGTAGTAAGCTACATTCGCTTACGCCATTTCTTGATGAACAGGGTGTACTCCGCGTGAGCGTATAGGCGCCGCCGCTGATATTACCTTCGACATGAAGCATCCTGTAATTTTAGATGGAAGAAATAAAGTTGCAAAATTAATCGTTAAACATTATCATGTGCTGACAGGCCACGGTAGTCAAGAGATGGTAGTAAACAACCTGAAACAAAATTATTGGATTATACGATTAAGACCTACTGTTAAGGAAATAACTACTAAATGTATGCTATGTAAATTAAGAAAGGTGAAACCTCACGTGCCGTTAATGGGTGATTTACCTACCGCCAGAGTCGCTCATCACCAGAGACCCTTTACACATTGTGGTGTTGATTTGTTTGGTCCCATGGAGGTTACGGTCGGAAGACGAAGGGAGAAACGCTATGGAGTTCTTTTTACGTGTCTCACTGTTCAAGCAATTCTTGCGGAGACTGTTTCGACCCTCAGTACAGATTCTCTGATTATGGGTCTTCGCAGGATGGCATCAAGACGTGGATGGCCTGCACACTTGTACTCAGACAATGGGACGAACTTAAGAGGAGCAGACGCAGAGCTGAAGAAGTTCACCTCGGAGCTTGATGAGCAATCCATGCAGACTGCTGTGAGTATCCATGGCACCCGCTGGACCTTTATACCACCAGCTAGTCCTCACTGGGGTGGGGCTTGGGAACGCTTAATTCGCAGCGTTAAAGTCACGCTTAGAGTAGTCCTTAAGGAAAGAGCACCTAGAGAAGAGTTACTTACCACGCTGCTGGCTGAAGTGGAGGCTATCGTGAACGGACGTCCGTTGAGTCACGTGTCGGTCGACGTCAACAGCGAAGAGTCGTTGACACCTAACCACTTCCTGCTGGGCTCATCTTCTGTCATACCGCAGTTGGGCAACTTCGATGATTCTGACCTGTTCTTGCGTCGACAATGGCGTATAGCACAGAGGTTAGCCGACATGTTTTGGAGGAGGTGGGTTACCGAAGTGCTACCAGAAATGATACCACGCCAAAAGTGGACCCAAGATAGTGAGAGACCTCTTCAGGTTGGTGACTTAGTGTTCATCGCTGACCCTAATGCTCCCCGTAACATTTGGCCGCGAGGTATTATAGAGGAGGTTTTCCTGGTAAAGACGGTAGAGTGCGAGTGGTTCCAGTTCGAACGCAATTGGGTAGTCTTAAGAGATCTGTTGCTCGAGTCGCTAGAATTCCTATAGAAGATTGAGTGCTGCAAAGTCAGCACTGGGGTGGGGCTTATGTACGCGACGCAGCTTTCAAACACTTATAATGCATTATAAGGTAGATTGTAAGTCAGTCGTCCCGATACCATCGCCGCGATCGGCACGTTTTCTATCACTGTGATCCCGAATACTTGTAAACCTTTGTATTTTGCATTAATATACTATTTCGTGAACTTAAAACCGTGTCACTCCTTTTTTGATCTCCTGACCCATACACTCTGTCTAGACATAGTGTCGATGCCACAATCTCAGGGTAGATCGACAGCATGCTAAGATATAGAGCCATTCAATTTACTGTGAGCGAAGTGACTAGAGGAGTGGTGGCTAGAGGATGCCCAGGGTGGTGTACTCTCCCCCCTTCTATGGAACACGGTTGTGGATGAACTCATCACACAACTCAATGACCGAAGATTCCTCACAATAGGCTATGCAGACGATCTCACTATCCTCATCAGCGGTCCCTTTGAAAACGTTACATGCGATCAAATGAGACTTGACTGACACAGAAGATCGTTGAACAGTGGTGTGCAGCACACAACCTGACAGTCAACTCATCGAAAACAGAGATGATCATGTTCACAAGCAAACGCAGTCTAGGAAACCTTAGACTTCCCAAGCTATTTGGCACGCAACTTGCTCTTACCAAAGAGGTAAAATACCTAGGAGTAATACTGAACAGTAAACTCCTGTCGAATAAGCACCTCGATGAAAAACTGAACAAAGCCTGCATTTTCTTCTGTCAATGCAAAAGGCTACTCGGCAAAAGCTGGGGACTATCACCCAAGATTACTCTATGGCTTTACAGAACAGTCATAAGACCAATAATCACTTACGGTGCTGTTGTCTGGTGGCAGAGAACAGAGCTAAGCACCGTCATAAACAAATTGCAGCAATTCCAGCGACTCCCATGCTCTGCGATCACTGGCTGTATGCGCACAACGCCAACTGCCGCACTGGAGGTGGCTCTCGGTCTGCCCCCACTGGATTTATTCATACAGCAGGAGGCCGCCATGGCGATAATTAGACTCAGACACCTGGACCTATGGCATAAGAGTGAGGGATCGCACTCCAAAACTATGGGATCAATTGGTGGAATACGAACCACTAATAGCAGCCCCATGCGATAGAATCCCAAAACACCACATCTTCACAAAAAGATACCACATCTAAATATGAACAAATCACTAGCGTTAGGCGAACACAGTTCCATATTCCAATGCGAATGTGTGGCAATAACTTACGCCGCCACAACGGCCATGTCAAGGGGTATCAAGAACTATAACATCCGAATACTATCCGACAGCATGGCCGTCCTAAAGGCACTAGAGGGCAACACAATGACCTCTGGTACTATCCTCGAATGCCATCAAGCATTGGAGCAGCTTGCCACATTAAATGTGGTACTCCGCCAATGGATTAAAGGGCACAGTAACTCACACGGGAACGATGCCGCAGATGAGTTGGCAAGGAGGGACTCGGCAACCCCAGCTACCGGCCCAACCATACTCCTGCCAATACCGTTTAACCAAACACGATTCTGGGCCAGGCAAGGGACCCATGAAGCACACAACCGGAGGTGGAAATACTCACCCGGCTGCAGACAGTCCAAACTGGTGATGACTCAAGTCACACCACGGCTCACCTGCAGATTGATTAGTCTTAGCAGGCAGGAAATCCGAATAGTTGTCGGTACTCTAACAGGACACTTAGCCCTGAACCGACATCTATTCATCATCAATGCGACGGACAGCCCTCTGTGCAGGGGATGTCTTTAAGCAGAGGGAACGGCCGCCCACGTAGTCGCTCTAGACAAGATCGCTCCTAGAAGCCTGTGAACGCCCCAGGAGGCTTCTGTGCTTCTGGAAATAGCTTGGTGGGCTCACCTAGCTAACCAATCCTCGACGCATAAAGGACCACTCTTGAGTCTAAATGCGGAAACCGAAGTCCACAACCAATACCAATATGTAGGTACAATTTAAAATGTTCATAGCCCACAGCTAAGACCACTATCACTACATTAGACATTTATGGTATAATATCAGTTGAAGTTAATGATGATGGTCTAGACTGTGGTAAAATTTATATCAATTGGTCACAGTACCAGCCAAAGGATTTAAAATTATATTTTGGTTTTCTGCATCTTCATCATTTTAATTCTTCTCGATTCAAATCGCAGCCTTTCCAGGTTCCAAAAAAAATTGCATGCGAGGGGCATGCAATTTTTTTTCCCAATCTCTAGTTGTAGCCGGCGATTTCTGATAGCCATGTACAAAAAGAGACCAGTATAGGCCAATTGTCGTTGCGCAAAACCAGATTTAAAAGCGGGCACGTAGGTGCGCATTCTTCTTTTGTTTAGGGGTAATTGCGATGGTATAATAGTTTTATGGTAGTGGAGAACCGTGTGCTGACTAAATAGTTGTCTGACCGTTAAGAGATTGGCTTCCTCATAGAGTAAATTCGTTGGATATTTCCTGGGCCTACGCAGCATAACTTTGATAACAGCCCTTTGTGCTCTCTCCAACTCCATTAGGTGTGTCGCCGCAGCTCCACCCCATATGGGTATACAATATGTCCATAGAGTTTGGCCAAGAGCAAGGTATATCTTTGTAATAAGGTTTTTATCAGCAGAATCTCTGAGATTTTTAAAAATGTGTAGCTATTTACGAACCCGTTTACTGAGAGCTGTAATTTGTGGTTTCCAATTTAGATTCTTGTTAATTGTAATTCCAAGGTATTTGTGGGTTTCTGCCTGGGTAAGGTTAGGACAGTGAGAAAACAGGGCTGTGTTAGTATCTTTTTTACAATTCAGGACGTGGCCAGTAATATTAAAATCAGTAGGTGGTTTCATGCCTTCAGAGATTCTAAAACAAATGTATTTAGTTTTCGATATGTTGATTGTGAGAAGGTTGTCATCGCGCCATTTAATAATAGTTGTAAGCCCAGATTCAGCCGATTTCCTAAATTGCGACGATGATTCACCACGAAAGATGAGAGCCGTATCGTCCGCAAAAGCCAGTGATCTGCAGTTATCGATTTTAAGTTTACACAGACCATTGACATAGACCAAGAATAGCGTAGAACCAAGCATACTTCCCTGCGGTATGCCATAGGCAACGGGAAGGCTGGAACTAAACACATCAGCTACTTTTACCATTTGGCTTCTGTTTGACAGATCACGGAACCATTCCAGTGCATTTCCCCGTACACCCAAGTCTTCCAACTTAAGTAGAAGCAACGGAATGGAAACGGTATCGAACGCCTTCCTGAGATCTATGAAGATAGCTATGCATCTCTCTCTTCGGTCAAATGCTCTCGTGACTGTGCTAGAGAGGTTAGTAACAGCGTCTTCAGTACTTCTGTCCGAGCGGAATCCATACTGATTATCAGCTAAAAGTTTTTTTTTCTCCAAGAAGCTAGTTAGGCGGGTCTTCTCGAGGATCTTGCTGATCGTGCTCAAGAGTGAAATCGGCCGATAGTTCGACACCGCATTCTCACCCCCTCCCTTGTATATCGGAACTACTACAGCCTTTTTAAAAATGGCTGGGAAAGTTGAGGAAGAGATACTGAGGTTGCATAGGTGAGCTATCATAGTACTTAAAGTGCCGTGAGAATTTTTTTGGATAGTATTAGTGATATGGTCTGTTCCCGGTGCACTGTATGGTCTGAGGTTGAGGATTATTTTATCAATTTCTATAAAACCCGTCGGAAACAAACACAAAGAGTCGATATTACTATCAGAAGTGTTATTTTTTAACAGCTCTGCTTCATTAGTGTTTAGTTTTGTCAGGATATCTGTTGCAAGATCTTTACCTATTGACGTGAAGAAAGAGTTTATGTGGTCGAGAGATTGCTCAGGAGACGGTAAAAGATTTAATAAAGCGGTAGGTTGTAAATGTTAGCTTTTAATGTTACACAAATCTTTAACGGCTGAATTTGTTCTTGTAGTAGTTTATTTTCAATGTTTTTGATGTCTGATTACAGATATTTCGATATTTAATATATGCTTCTTTTATAATAGCGTCATTGGGTTTTTTTTAGCAAGTCGGTGTAAACGGTTTCGCCTCTGAAAGCATTTAACAATGCCTGTTGTAATCCATGGCTTAAGGGGTCTTTTTCTTTTTGTGAGGGTGGAGGTAATCGTGCTTGTGGCAATTTTGAAGTGTATCGATTAGTAATTTGGCAGCGTGTTCGGGATTTATAATAACACCTAAGTATTTCACTTGGTTAGTTCTGTTCATAAATATACAGTCACAAGAAGTGTTATCGTTTTTAGAGTTGCAGATATGTGCTTTAAGGTAATAGTCGTCAAGAGACGGTTGAGTCATACTTGAAGTTGAGAACGTTAAGTAGGTGGTTTTGACAAGGTTAAGTGTTAAAAAGTTTTTATCAAGCCACTGCATTACTTGCCCGAGAGACAGGAAGTTATCTCGCAGAAGGAGGCGGCGGAGAAGGCCCGGGAGGACGACCTCCACTCGGACCCGATCCGCCGCCGGTGAACCGGGCGGGGGAGGCGCGCTCACCTGCGCCTCATGCCGCCCTGAGTGTGGCCGCGGGTGGACGGGGTGGGTTTCCCCTCCACCCGCATTAGTTTGGGCAGCCGCGAGGGGGCGGCGTCCGCGTGTACTGGACGTCGCCTAAATAGAGAGCTTACCGAAGGTGGTGCCCGCGCCGTTGCGGGCAGGCGCTAGGAGGGGTCCGGATGTCTTAATAACAGCTGTTCCCGGATCCCTCCTATTACAGGCGCAGAGTGGCACACCGTGTGGTTTTAGTCGGTCCGAGTCCGACACACCACCCCGCCGCAAACCCCGGTGGGGTGACGGTCCGAGGGGATTTCCACACGTTCACCAGGGACTTCCTTTCTAGGGTATACCTGGTTCCCCGGCTATTAGTACCCGAGACGGCGTGCGGTTTTAGTCGGTTCGAGTCCGACAGGGGTGGTATCCGAGGGGATTTCCGCACGGAAAAAAAAAGGGGATTTCCACACGTAAAAAAAAAAGGGAGGAATAATAATATTGGGTAATGATCGCTACCATGAGACAAATCCGTGCACCGCCAGCAAGCAGCAGCAGCAACTTCCAGGGAGCAAATGGTCAAATCAACACAGCTTTTGTTCTGACCAGGGAGGACTCTACGAGTGGAGCAGCCGTTATTGAGAACACAGAGGTTCAAATCATCAATGATCTCCAACAAACCAATGCCAAAACTGTCACAGTGCTCAGATCCCCACCTAAAGTGATGGCATTTGTAACCTCCCATAACTAATATTGGGCTCCGTAGGCTCTGTAGCAAGTCTCTCAATATAGGGAGACAACTCTGATGGTGGTGAGCAATGTAGATGGAAAGCACAGATACACTACTGATTTTCGCTGCTACAATGCTGATATCATATGGGAATGGGGGTAAGGGGAGGGGTAATAGAGGGACTCTGTTTTTTATAAGGAGGGCTGCACCTCAGTAACCATCAGACCTGTCGCATCTAAGCATGTTGAAATGCGGAACATGGAAGTTGAGAACCGGAAGAAGCCAAGTCTCAGCAAGAGAGACAGCCAAAGGCTTGTATTTATTCAACAGGAATATGAGGTCGTGCTTCTTATGAAACACACTCCTCACATTTCACTGTAGGAATACTTGTTGGGATGCCATTTTTAAAGTTGGTTAGTAAGTTGATAAGTGTGTTAGCGGGACGTTGGACGGTATACTAGAAGGGGATTGAGATAGAGGTAAATTGGAGGTTAATAGAGAAGTCAAAAGCTGTATTATAAGGTCAATAGTAGAAGTCTCAAGTGACGAGTTAAGAGCACAACCATTAGGTTGAGAAGGTATAGATTGTATATATATAGCAGGGGTGGCCAACAGGTCGATCGCGATCGACCGGTCGATCGCGACTGTTAGTCCAGTCGATCGTGGCAAGGCAAAAAATATAAATACGTAGACCAGACTGCCCAACGTAATCACCTACTGCTGGACGCATCATCATGTATAATTTTTCAATCGCTGTTCCGTCACGGTATTTATCCTCTATTACCAATAAGCGGGAAGCATGTGGGACGCGGGGGAGGGACGGGAGGGTCTCAGTCAGTCAGTTGACAGTTGACGACAGAGACTACCGGAGTTAGGACGTTTCAACGATTATCGATGTAAATCACGATTAGACTTTGTATTAGGCACGCCGCATAATTGTTTACGTACATAATGAATAAGTGGTTGAAAAGAAGCGCTGAAGGAACATCAAATGAAGAAAGAAATGCTTCTGAAGGTTCATCAAATAAAGTAAGTTAATATTTTTAATATTGTTATTACTGCAAACAGACCTCTCAATAATCCACCTATACTACAAGAATTATATACTAGAAAATATTGTTCGCTGGTTAACTTTGTGCCATCATTAGGAAATTTATTCTCATTAAATTGGATTTCTACATTTGTTATTATACAAATTATGTTCCTGTAAGTCGGAAATCACGACTGTTTTTCCTTTAGGTGGGATATGGCAATAAGTACGGCTGTTGATGCGAGTAATAACTGTAAGTTTAATCACAAAACACATTAGTACTTATGAATAATACACGTTACATACAGGAGACATATGTTTGCAAAGACGATGTAATGCTAAATACCTGAATCAACAACAAGTACAATCACTATTTGTTTACACAGTGTCAAAGGCGCGAGCTATGAGGTTATAATCTTATAGTACATATCGTGCGTCCTGTCGGCTCGGCAGCGCCGCTCGCACTGTCTTCCCGCTCCCCTCCGATCTCACGATGCCGGCGCGTGCGCTGCGCTGGTTTGACTCAAGTCAAACCTACATCCCCCCTATTCCGCCCCCTCTTAGGAAAGATAGTATTCAGGAGTAGGACAGTAAGGGATCATTTTATTTGCGTGGAAAATATTTGATTCCTTCTTTTTGAAACCTGAATCTACGATATATAATAGATTTGAAATTTTCTTTTTTATTTTAAAAGGGCCCACTCTAATTGGATCCAGCTTGTTTCGATTTAAGCGACTCGTGTTTTGAATGTATACCAAATCTCCCTCTTGATATATTAAAGGCCTTTTATTCTTGTCATACAGAATTTTGTTTTGATCATGAATTTTCTTAGAATTTAGGAATGCTTTTCTCTGTTTTCTGTCAAGTTTTCTAAGTTGTTTTTGTTCAATTCAGAAGGTAGAAAATAATTATCAATACCATTTAAAAGATAACTAGGTGTAAATTTTGTTGTGCTATGTACAGTGTTATTATAATTTTCAATACATTGCTCGGTTATAATACTCCACGGTCGGTGTCTATTTTCTGAAATTTTACACCTTATTGAGTTAACTAAAGTCTGATTTGTACGTTCGTTTTGCCCGTTTGAGAAAGGGCAATCCATAGCTGTAAATATGTATTTTATGTTTTCGGATTTCAGAAAGTTTTTGAATTGATTGGAGTTTATACCGGAATATTGGCTTGTTAAAAGTAATTTAATTTTGTATTTTTTTTGTATTTTTTTTACTAAATTAATAAAATCTTTTGATGTTAGCGCGAAAGCAAACTTAGTGAAATGATCTATTACTAAATGCAAGTATTTTTTTGGTGATCTATTACCTCCGAACCCTCCTATTGTATCCAAAGATACTATCTGAAACGGTTCCGTAGCTGGACCTAGTTGAGACAGGGGTTGAATAAAATTTCCGAATCTTGATTTATTTTTTATACATGTGTCGCATGTTCGACATACGAGTTTTATATGTTTGTGCATGTTTTTAAAATAATATGTCGGTGTCAAAGTTAGGGTTATTTGTTTCACACCTATGTGGCTGTTACTGTGGATTTTGTTTATCAGGTTTATACCGAAATCCTCTGTAATCCAGATTTTCTTTTTATTATTCATAGTTTTATAATAAATGTTATTTTCAGTTTGAAACGTTTCATTTTCAGTGTGTAATTGTTTTTGGTTGTTCTTTACCTCATCTAACGATACAAAGTTTACTGTTTTAATAGTAGATTCAGTATTATTGTTATTTTCTAAAACCGGATTTCGTGAAAGGCTATCTGCTTCTATATTATTCTTTCCGGGCTTGTATATTATGTTAAAATCGAAGTTTGATATAAAGTTTAGTATAGGTAACAAATCTGGGTCCTGGCTCTTTTTTACATTGAAATTTTCAAGAGGTTTATGGTCTGAGAAAATGGTAAATTTATGACCCATCAAGTAGTATTGCCAATATAGTATTGACTCTTTTATGGCCAGACATTCTAGAAAAATAGCACGTTTATTTTTTTGTGACTGAGTCAGCTTTTTTGAAAAGTAAAATACAGGTTTGAGAGAATTATCTTTTTGCGGTTGTTTTAAGATTGCTCCGACTCCTTCTTTAGATGCGTCTGTAAAAATATATATTGGAAGTGTCGGGTCGAAGATCGCTAGTATAGGCTCTGAACTTAGATATTGTTTTATTTTATTGAAGCTATCTTCGCACTTCTGAGACCACTCAAACTGAAGATTTTTCCTAAGTAGGTTATGAAAAGGTTCTAATATTATTGATGCGTTGGGAATGTATTTTAAATAAAAGTTTATCTTGCCTAGAAGCTGTCTAATATTTTTTTGATTCTGTGGTATTGGAAATTTCCTTATTGCAACTAAATTGTCATTTAGGGGTCTTATTAAATTTTCTCCTATTTCATGACCGAGATACACAACTGATTCCTTTGCAAAAGAACATTTCTTTAAGTTTAATTTGAAACCCGCATTTTTGAGGGCTGTAAGGGTTTTATCAATATGACTTAGGTGGTCCGTAATGTTTTTCTAAAATATCAAGATGTCATCTATATAATTTATGGCGAATGCATTCAGATCACTTTTAGAGATTACGTCACTCAGTATTCTCTGGAATATTGCCGGAGCTGATTTAAGACCGAAAGGTAAACATGACCATTGCCAGTGGCCATTATGTGTAATGAATGCCGTCTTTTGTTTATCCTTTTCTCTAAGCGGGATCGACCAAAACGCCGAGTTTATGTCGAGTTTCGTGAAAAGCGAGCAATCGCGTGCTAATAGTACTAAGTCATCTATTATAGGAAAAGGATAGCATTCAGGAACAACTATTTTGTTGAGTTCACTGTAGTCAATACACAACCGCGATTTTTTCCCTTCTTCCTTCTTAAAAACAAGAGTTATTGGAGAAGCGTATGGACTGGTGGAATGTTCTATAAGACCAGCTTTTAGTAAAGATTTTATTTGTGTATCTATTTCCTCTTTATCCTGCAACCAGCACTTGTAGGGTTTTCTAGCGATGTATTTATTTTTGGTAAGTTTTACCGTTGCTTCATAGTTTTTTACCGTGCCGATATCGTACTTATGTTCGGCAAAAAACTGTTTTATGGTTGTCTGATAGGCAATCCAAAGAAGTTTTGCTATTAGTTTTTACATTTATAGTTGTAGTATTTATTTTATTTTGGTTGCGTAATTCAAAATGTTCGTCATGTTTTTGAGAAATTTTTAAGTTCTCATCTTGACATAGCTTAAATTTTTTAATGGCGTCTAACCCTAAAAGGATATCATCCTGAAATGATTCGCTTTTTATTACAAAAAATGGCCAATTTTTAGAGATAGCAAAAATTTTTAGGGGTATTATAATTAAACCCAACGTTTCTGTCACACCTGAAACAGTATTTATTTTTTTAGCCCCACTTATATTTTCATTAAGTTTTAATCTTTTAACAGTGGAATAATTAATTACTGAGATATTGGCTCCAGAATCATAAAGCGCAATAACGGGCTTATTGTTTACCAGGACTTTTATTTTGATAAGTGGGGTAGTTAATCGTTTTTTGAGTCGTCACTTGATGAAATACTATCTTGTACTTCTAAGTTATTTACCATTTTGATTTTGTCATTTTTGAAGTTTTCTTTATGGCTTGGTTGTTTATTGCGACAAAGATTTTCAGGATGGAATCTGTTTGGAAAACCTTTATCTTTGCAGTACGAGCAAGGTTTGTACTCTGATCTATTTGGTAATTTATTTTGCGATTTATTTTCAATTACGAACGAATTTTTATTTTTGTTATTATTACTCGTAGATGAATTTTCTAATTGTCGAATACACGACATCAATTGATCAATTGAATTTAAATCCCTTATATTGATTCGTGTCCTTATTTGATATGGTAAACCCAATACAATAAAATTAATTTGGCTATTTGGGGTTAATTCCGGATCCGCGTCCAAGAGTAAGTTTATCTTTTTGAGCGCGTAATCTAACATTGGCCCACTCACATAACGAAAAGTGTAGGCATAATTTATTTCGGCCCAACTCAGCTCTGCAAAGGTATCAAGAAAAGAGTTTTGCCAGAATTCCCACGGTCGTGAGATTGTATGTGTCTTTAGAAAGGCAAGAAACCAATCAAGGGCTGGTCCTTCTAAAAAAAGTCTTAACACTTCTGGAAAACGTGTGTTTTCAATTTTTAAACGGTTGCATTCTTGTACAAAAAGGTTTAGAAATACCTTCGCGTTTTGATTTTTTCCTGAAAACTTATCTAGAATCATATCTTTTACCACTGAATGTATGGATTTGTTTTCGACCGGTTCGGATTGGGAAAATTTTGGTAATGCGGGGTTGGGATTGACAGGGGCCTCGTCCAGATATATCCCGTCGAAGCATACGTTGCCCTCCTCGTCTAGGTACTGATCCTTCAGCTCATCCGCCAGCGATACCCATATATTCCGGAATTTTCCACGGGTCTTCATGCTCTTGACTACATTCTTTACAACACTCGTGTCGAATAATTTCGGGTGATCCTCCTTACGCTGATACTCCTTAGGGAATTGAAATATAGTATCCTCACCTTCTAATTGTATGGTAAGCACTTTCACGATCGTAGTTTTTGCGTCCAGGGAATCCGAAACGAAGTGAAATTTCGCCCGTAGTGACGTCATGATATGTTGTTGATTTGTAAGTCGGAAATCACGACTGTTTTTCCTTTAGGTGGGATATGGCAATAAGTACGGCTGTTGATGCGAGTAATAACTGTAAGTTTAATCAAAAAACACATTAGTACTTATGAATAATACACGTTACATACAGGAGACATATGTTTACAAAGACGATGTAATGCTAAATACCTGAATCAACAACAAGTACAATCACTATTTGTTTACACAGTGTCAAAGGCGCGAGCTATGAGGTTATAATCTTATAGTACATATCGTGCGTCCTGTCGGCTCGGCAGCGCCGCTCGCACTGTCTTCCCGCTCCCCTCCGATATCACGATGCCGGCGCGTGCGCTGCGCTGGTTTGACTCAAGTCAAACCTACATTCCTAATATTTTAATTTCATTTTTTACAGATTCTTGATAAATGTGCTCCAAGGAAATCAAAAGCTTATCATTTTCACCAAGAATGGGAATTGAACTACTTCTTTACTATGGTGAAAGAAAACTGTTGCTGCCTTATATGCAATACATCCCTGCCAATGCCCAAAAAAGGAAATTTAGAGCGACATTTTAACACAATGCATAGTAAATATCAGACTGACTTTCCACCTAACAGCGAAATAAGAAAGAGTAAATTGCAAGCACTGAAATCGTAATTAAAAGTCCAAGAAAACATGTTTTCTGGACCTATTGAACAACTGAAGCTTCTTTCTAAGTAAACTACAGAATTGCACAAAAGTGCAAACCTTTCTCCGATGGAGAATACATCAAAAAAATCTTCGAAGAAGTGTCAGATTCGCTGTTCGTGAATTTCAAAAATAAAAACGAAATTAAAAAAGCTGTTCATGGATTACAGCTGTCGCGAAATACTGTGATGCGCCGTATAGAAATAATAAGTAAAAACTTAAACGAACAACTACAAAAAGATATCGCCCGCTGCGTTGCTTTTTCGCTTCAATTTGACGAGTCAACAGATGTCACTGATACTGCACAATTACTTGTTTTTATTCGGATGGTCTTCGAAGATTTCTCGACCAAAGAAGAACTGCTAGGTATGATTTCCTTAAAAGGAAAAACTCGTGGCCTTGATATACATATTCACGGAATTGAAAGCATAATTTGCCAGATTAAGCTATGCATGTATAAACTCGTATCAATGACAACTGATGGAGCTCCTGCAATGACAGGTATTCATAATGGTTTTATTGCTCTTTGTCACAAAGACGAAGATTTACCAGACTTCATTAGCTACCACTGCATAATTCATCAAGAAGTACTGGCTAGTAAGAGATTAAACACGAAACATGTGATGGATATTTCTTTTAAGATTGTAAATTCCATAAAGGGAAATCCCTCTTTAAACAGTAATTAGATGAGAAGGAACCAGAATTGGCAATGCACACTGACGTGAGGTGGTAGAGTCGAGGCAAGTTTTTGCAAAGATTTCGAGATCTATTGGACGAAATAATAAAATTTCTTGATGAAAGGGGTGATGATTGTGTGATTTAGACTAGCAATGTGATTTAGCTTTTTTAGCAGATTTTACTGGAAAACTGAGTACATTAAATCTGAATCTACAAGGCAAGAATAAAACATTAACAGAAATGATAAGTTCTATTGCATCGTTTCAATGTCAAACAGCGTCTATGATAGTTGACATAGAGAAGAAAAAATTTGAACAATTTGTTAACATCAAGGATCATATGGAAAAACATCCTACCTACAATTTCATTTCTGAGAAATATACGACAGAAATTAGGGCAGTGGTAGTTCGCTTTGGTGATTTCAGAAAAATTGAGATTTGCAGATACATTTCAAATGGAGCACATGATGTTACAAAACGAAATTATTACTCTGCGCTGCCACATATTTTTTAAAGCAAGGTCATCCTCAGGTCAAGATTTCTGAGCATTGGTATCCAACGAAAAATATCCAAATTTGAAGAAATGTGTTGAACAACTTCATTCGTGTTTTGGTTTAACATATTTATGTGAGTCAGGATTTTCCTACTTAAAGCAAACAAAAAGTAAACACCGTTCTCGCTTGACAGACGCTCATGCATTGGATTCTCTAAGGTTGGCAATCTCCAACTACAAACCTGATTATGCTAAACTAGTGGAAGATACTCAGACGCAATGCTCACACTAATATATATATGTAAATAAGTAGTTACTAAGTATAATTTTCAGATTTATGTTTTTTCTCTTAATAAAATAAAAAATACTACATGATTATGTACTGAACTGTTTCATTTAAGATTTCGAGAAGTATGTAATTGGTAGATCGCACAGGGTCTCGTTAGTGAACAAGAGATCTTGGATCCAATCAAGTTGGCCACCCCTGATATATAGGTATAATAGATTGGTGTGCAGCTATATCATAGGATTTGGATAGTGTAGGGCGAGGTTTAGACTGCCGAAGAACAGTTTTTCGGTAGGACTAGGTTTGTTTTAGGGGTTGGGTAGACTGAAGGGACTGGGTAGACTGGATGGATTGAGTGGGCTGAGAGGATTGGGTGGGGTCTTTAGGGTATCAGCATAGCTGCGTGTAGTAGAAGGAACCACTTTACTTGCTTCCATATAGGAAGTGTTTTTTTCCGCCATCATGATCTTAATAGTACGAAAATAGTAGAAAATAGTACGCTTTCTGATAATGTAAACCAACTCACGAAACGTATGAACCTATTAGAACAACTTGCTAGGTCCGCCAACATCGAAATACAATCCGTACCAGAAAATAGGTCAGAAAATTTAGTAAATACAATAATGCAGCTGAGTAAAGTAGTGAAATGTGAAATCAAAGATACTGACATACAACTCTGTACTAGGATTGCTAAAAAAGATACACAGACTATCAGACCACGTTCTATATTGGTTAAGTTCGCTAACCCACGATTACGAGATAACTTCCTTGCTGCAACCATGAAGTATAACCGGACGAATGCGAATAAAAAGCTGAACACCAGTCATTTAGGCATCGGTGGAGATAAACCTCTTCCAATTTATGTCGTCGAGCATCTTTCGTCCGAAAACAAAGCTCTGCACGCAGCCTCGCGCATTCGTGCTAAAGAACTCGGCTTCAAGTTCGTCTGGGTTCGTAATGGTAGGATACTCATCGGAAACTTTCGTAATTAATAACTTAGAAAAACTAAAGTCTTTAAAATAGAATAATCCTATATTCATAAATTGTGTTTATGGTTGCATGATATTTGTGTTATAAACTGTAACATTCAACAATTCAGTTAATATTTATTACCAAAATATAAGAGGTCTAAAGACAAAAACCACTCAATTTTGCCATAATATTGCTTTATGTGATTATGATATTATAGTCCTGACAGAGACTTGGCTTAATGGCGGTGTCTATGATTCAGAATTATTTGATTCTAACTATGTAGTTTATAGGCGCGATCGAGAAAATACTATAAACAATACTCGCAAAGATGGCGGTGGAGTACTGATAGCTGTATCCAAAAACTTAAAATCAAACCGTGTATACCAATTCGAGAGTATGCTTGAGGAGTTATGGGTATGTATAAACTTAGATGCCTCTGGATGCAGTCATCATAAACTCTATCTAAACGCTGTTTATTTACCACCTCCGTTGCACCAGGATATATTAGAGTTATATACTAACAATACTCAAAAAATTTTTGATAAAGGGAATCATACTATACTCATGGGTGATTTTAATTTGAGTGGAATCAATTGGATTCCTAAAAGTAATACGCAGGTATTGCAACCGGCAACAAATAGTGCTGAAATAAATGCGAATTTTATTGATTTTACTACCCTAAATGACTTAGAACAAAGCAATCATATATTGAACCATAAATCGAGGGTGTTAGACTTGGTTTTGAGCAACAAAAATGTGTCTAAATTAAATCGCAGTAGTTCTCCTTTGGAAAAAGAAGTCCTTTACACCCGGCATTTGAGTTTTGTTTACCAACGTCGACTAATTCCTTCTTACACCCACTATATACAGAGAAACCTAATTTTTTCAAAGCAGATTATGGAAAAGTTGTATCACATTTAAATTCAATAGACTGGGTAAATACTTTCAATCGTTGTGACACACTTGATGACATATTGAATGAATTCTATATTATACTTAAAGACACAATTACTCAACATATTCCTTTAAAAAGAACGACGCGTGCTAAATATCCGTCTTGGTACACGCGAGACCTTATATGTATACTTAAAGAAAAACACAAATATCATAAAAGGTATAAGAATCATCACAACCCCTTAGACTATGAGATGTTTATTCAGTCACGTAATAGATTTACTGAAGCCCTCAAGTATTGTTACAAGAAATACATGAATCAAATGGAAGAATCTATTAGGTCTAACCCCAAGCTCCTCTGGTCATTTGTCAAAAATAAAAGGAAGAGTAGTAGTTCCTATCCCGCCGAAATGGAATTCTGTGACAAGGTGGCCTCCAATGGCGGTGATATATGTAACCTCTTTGCTGAAAACTTTGCAAAATGTTTCAATATATGCACAAAAACTATACAAATACGCACTCTCGATAACACTATCACGCCTTCATCTGTTTTTTGCAGTCTTGAGTTTGGGGATGATGAAATACTTCGGGCTCTGATGTCTTTAGACGAAACTAAGGGCTCAGGCAGTGATGGTATTCCACCTATATTTGTTAGACGCTGTGCTAAAGTACTGGTATTTCCTTTAAACCTAATCTATAATAAATCATTAAAGGAGGGTATTTTCACGAATAATTGGAAAGAAGCCCTGGTTGTACCCATTTTTAAATCAGGCGATAAAAGCCTGATAACTAATTACAGACCAATTTCAATTCTAGCTATTTTTGGTAAGACGTTTGAAAAGCTTGTCACACAGCGCTTTTCTTGGTACTTGAAACAGCATGTCACGGAATTTCAGCATGGCTTCATAAAATCTAGATCCACAGTAACTAATCTGATCAGCTTTACAAACCGTTTATGCGAGAGTGTAGATGAACGTGTACCGGTGGATGCCATCT